TATTTAGATTTTTTTTATGGCCGGTCAAGAAACCCAGAGTCAAAAGACATTGGAAGACTAGGATTAGCAATTGAAATTGCATTTTGCAGCCTATTGTTTAATTTGTAGAGCAGAGCAGAGTAGAGTAGAATTTAGAGCTTGGAGGTCTTCTAGTCCAACCCCCTGATCAAGCAGGTGACCCTATACCATTTCAGACAAGTAACTGTCCAGTCTCCTCTTAAAATCCTCCAGTGATGGAGTGCCCACGATTTCTGAAAGCAAGCTGTTCCACTGGTTAGAATTGAATAACAGAGTTGGAAGAGCCCTTGGAGGCCTTCTAGTCCAACCTCCTGCCTAGGCAGGAAACCCTACACCACTTCAGACAAATGGTTATCCAACATGTTCTTAAAAACGTCCAGTGGTGGAGCATTCATAACGTCTAGAGGCAAGTTGTTCCACTAATTAATTGTTCTGTCAGGAAATTCCTCCTCAGTTCTAAGTTGCTTCTCTCCTTGATTAGTTTCCACCCATTGCTTCTTGTTCTACACTCAGGTGCCTAGGAGAATAACTTGACTCCCTCTTCTTTGTGGCAGCCCCTGAGATATTGGAAGACTGCTCTCATGTCTCCCCTAGTTCTTCTTTTCATTAAACTTGACTCAATTGATTGATTCAATTGATTCATTAATTGACTCAACTCTGCTGGTCAAATGGAGGATTTGAATTAACAATACATCACATGTTGAAATTTTCAGATGAAGCACATTGAAAAAAAAACTGGAAATCCAGATCATATATGCTAACAAATTCCAATTGGAGAGCCATTCGTTCAGTGAGTTTTGCCCCATTTTATCACCTTTCTTGCCACAACTGTTAAGTGAATCACTGCAATTGTTAAGTGAGTTGGGCTTCCCCACTGACTTTGCTTGTCGGAAGTTCACAAAACAGGATGACATGACCCCAGGATATTGCAACTATCATAAATATTCTGACCCCCTCCTCCATCCAGTAACGAATGCTGAGACAAGCTTANGTGGAGCATTCACAACTTCTGGAGGCAAGTTGTTCCACTGATTAATTGTTCTAACTGTCAGGAAATTTCTCCTTAGTTCTAAGTTGCTTCTCTCTTTGATTAGTTTCCACACATTGCTTTTTGTCCTGCCTTCAGGTGCTTTGAGTCCCTCTTCTTTGTGGCAGCCCCTGAGATATTGGAACACTGCTATCATGTCTCCCCTAGCCCTTCTTTTCATTAAACTTGACTCAATTGATTGATTCAATTGATTCATTAATTGACTCAACTCTTGTGGTCAAATGGAAGATTTGAATTAACAATACATCACTATTCTGACCCCCCTCCATACGGTGAGTCACACCGACACAAGATTACTGCTAGACAATTTATTCACAGTAAATTAACACACCGACAAGACTTTGGCATCAACCCAGACTTCCACAGATAAGAAATACACACAAGAGCTTCTCCAGCTTTAGTGTAATAGTTGAGTCCTGCAAAAAGCCTCCTCCCAAAGTCTCTTCTTATATACTCTCTTGGGAGGAGCTTAGGCTGGGTCCAATTATCTGCCAGGCATCCAGGACCAATTCCCTCTGTACCTCCTCACTGCTCAGGGGCCTGACGTTTTCATCACTGCCGCAGAGCCTGACATCAGGAACACAATCCCTTTGGCTTTCACCACTGCCTCATGCCTCAGGCGCCTCCTCATGGCCAACCAGCCTCTCTGGTCCCTGATTGGAGTCTGAACCCTGTCCACGGTCCTCCACATCTTCCAGAGCTGACTCATAGGGTCCCTTGCTATCAGAGTCTGTTGGCAGCTCCAACAGCTCCTGCTGGGCCACAACACATCACATGTTGAAATTTTCAGATGAAGCACATTTAGAAAAAAAACCTGGAAATCCAGATCATATATGCTAACAAATTCAAATTGGAGGGCCATTTGTTAAGTGAGTTTTGCCCCATTTTATCACCTTTCTTGCCACAATTGTTAAGTGAATCACTGCAATTGTTAAGTGAGCCGGGCTTCCCCATTGACTTTGCTTGTCGGAAGTTCGCAAAACAGGATGACATGACCCCAGGATATTGCAACAATCATAAATGTTCTGACCCCCTCCTCCATCCAGTAACGAATGCCGAGACAAGCTTAGCTGGAATGCCACAACACTTTATTAGCAGGAAACATAAATCTTGGNAACATGAAGTATCTTAATGAGAGCCCAAAAATCTTATTTAGCCTACAGCCCAAAACTCTGAAAGCTCAAGCAGCTGCTTGTCCAGATTGAGTTTTCATCTGCTTTCTTTGAACAGCTTTTAACTCAAAAGAATAGGCGCCAACACATAGAAAAGCGGAGAAGAAACAAGGTGAAGAAAAGTGTAGGATTCGCTTACTCTGAAAGTCCATAGAGCTCCTGAAATGGGTGCTCATCAAATTTGTGTTCACTGAAGGCATAGAGATGCTGCGAAGCCATCCCTCCAACGAGGAGATCACCTGGTTGGTACCATTCGTGTGGAATAGGGATAGGATCAGCCTCTGGGCACTTGAGGGTGTTCACTTTGAT